TTGTTATAGGCTTGTGCTGTGTCTGTGAACAGAGCTGAGACAGATTGCCTGCTTTCAGACAGCTTGTGTTCTAAAGAAACTTCGAGATGGTAATAAAGATGGAGTATCTAATAGCATTTCTCATGTGGTCATAAAACCTTTTTATAACTAGCATCTCATGGACTTAATGTTTTGTGGAATACACATTGGGAAATAGTTTTCTAGAAAATTGCCAGTTATTCTAAGGAAAATCTTTGTTTTGCTTCATGCAGCAAGGAATCATAAAACTTTGATGATCTTAATTCAGTGCATTAGAACTACCTTACGATGCTGAGACACTGCAATAAGTAAATTCCAAGATTTAAATGGAGGATTTTTTATTATACTTAGAAGAGCTGACTGTTGGATTTTCAGAAGATATTCAGATATGCAGCAGGTACCCATCAGAATTTCAAAATATCACAGTAAGAATCTAAATAGGTCTATAGTCTAGAACTTTTTTTTTTATGTCTAGGTTGTTTAGGCAGTTTTCCTAAAATATACTTAGAGCGTACCAACCTGAGTGGTATGAAGATAAATTTTCCTTCAAAAGAGTATTTAAGGGAAGTCACACATTACTTTTACAGTTCCTTCATCAGTATAGCATTCTATCATTGCTTTTTATTTTATGGAATATGGAGATGCAGGAAAGGTTGCCAACTGAAATCTAACTTCATTAGTTAATTAAACATGTTGAAAGAAAGTTCAGAATTGTCCTCTCCCTCCCCTCCAGCTTACTATTTTACAAGATTGAAATAATAATAAAAAGATGCCTAATTTAAATGGTTTCTCACATTTATTGGGGATTTTTTTAAATACAAGCTAATAAATTTTTGTAAATTGCTATATATTGTTGCAAAGAAGTTTAGCACATTTTATTTCTTGATTTAATTTCCTGATTTAATTGACTGTTCTTAAAAGCACTTTAATTTAGAGGTCTGTACTCTTCTGAAAAGGTGACATTTGGCAAAGTAGTCACTATGTAACTAGAAACCAATGACTCTGCCTTCGTATACATTATATTGGCTTGCCTTGTCTCTGGGTCTTTCTGGAACATTTCTGTGGGTCAAAGTAGTTGATTTTCTTAGCGGAATCCACAGCTGACATGATGGTATATTCACTTTCCAGGAGATTTGCCTTCATCTGTGATATCAAAGCTTAAAACACTCCTAAGCCGCTGGATACCAAAAGCACACAACACAACTTCTCATATTTAGGACCCAAACTGAGTGGCAGTCTGCTAACTACATCTCTCCTCCCGATGAATATTCAATTGTGCATTGAGTTTCCTGCTTCCTTTCAATTAGGTCTACGTGGAAACTCCACGAGTCTCAGACTAGTTGTTTGCTTGGAGAAGTTTTATTAGCCTTAGAGGTTGAGTGGAAATTCTAAGCTCTGAAAATACTTTGGAGAAGAGAATGTGAAAAAATGGAAACAAAGACAATGACAGCTAATGAGTACAGACCCCTTTCGTAAGAGACGTAGGTAGCATTGATTGACCATGGTGAACGGCCAAATACAAAAACTCAGAAGAGCCCATCCAACGGCGTCACTGTATCTCCAGCTGAAATATTACTGGTTGCACGTTTATAATACTAACTTCAGAGTAATACATAAGTCTAATTAAATAGCATACCTGTCCCTTATTTATGTGAAAAGCAGAAGAAGAGGAGAAGGAGGAAGAAGCGGGGAGGGGAGCAAGAGAAAAAGAAAAGGAAGAGAAAGTGAAATATTGTGTTTACTGGGATCTAGGTACCAGTCTAAATGCCGTGCATACATTATCTCACTTAATTCACATAATACCCCTGTGAGTGGGTCCTATTATCATTTTCATTTTCTAGCTGAAGAAATGAGGATACGGGAAGGGTGGGTTAGCTGGCTGGTACATGGCAGGGCTGGGATGTGCATCTGTTTAATGCCCATGCAGATCCCCGGTCCTTCACCAGCTCATGGCTTTGCTGCTTCTTCGCAGTGCAGGTCCCTTACAGTCCAGTTGGACATGGGAAATGCCACTAGAAGGTGTTTCACTTACACTTACGGTATTCTTTACCCTTTTTCGTGACGACTGATCATACTTATAAGTGTTTAAAAATGAACTTCCTTTTCCCACGTTACTATGCATTAATTTCCGTTTTATCCTTTCTGCGGAAATCACAAATATTGATTCTCCTGTGTAATCGAATAGTATCAAATCATTGGCAAGTGGTCTCCATAGTATAGGGATACTCTGTAGCTTATGTTCAAAACTTAATTTATAGTTCTTCCAGTCTACTTGGTTGCTCTAGAAATTCAAGTTTAATTCACCATTAAAGGGTACCTAGAATGTATTCTTTATATACATAGATAACTATATACTTACCTTTAGGTAATGATTAATACACATTTAAAGCCACATCTTCTTCTCATGTTAATGTCTAACCACTATGCTATGCACCTTAAACTAATATATTGAAGGTCAACTGTAATTTTTTAAGAAAACAATAACAAAATAAAAATTAAAAAAAATAAAACCACACTTCCTTTGAATTTTCAGATCCTAGCAAAACCGTATTAAAAGAATTCCATTTTTAAGGAATGACCTAGCTATATATTTTAGCAGATATGACTATTAAATGCATTTTTTGGCATATGATTAGGTTGCTTTCAAATGGCACTCATCACCTAAATAGAAATGTAGATGTCTTTAAGATGCAAACTGGACAAAATTATATCCAAGGCTAAAAAGAGGCTTGCAAGCTGAATCAGCGGCAAGGTCTGTTAATTGAAAAGTAAAACCTTCAACGATATTCAACTCAATTTAGCAAATTGAACTGTGCCGTTCTGCTATGCTGCAGATATTAAAATTATTGCAAGCTCTGAAATCTGGTGATTTAATTTCATTATTTAAAACTTGTTGGCTGAGATTTATCCAAGTACCAAAAACTGTATTCTCTCTTGGTTTTTCTAAAAGTTCTTCCCTTTGATAAAATTGTTTCTTTTCTGAAAACATTTAACTCTAAGTTGTTAATTGCTAATAATATTTAAATAACATGAGCAGTCCAGGCTGCTGTTGTATGCAGGCGGTACTGTGTTTGTCATTTTCTCTTATTTCTAGGGCTTTTACTAAACTTGGATTCTGAAAGGCAGCATTCTTTAGTCAGAAGGTGGTGTCCCCATCAAAGAGATGTTGAAGTAGCTAC